TGCAGTATAAGACCAACAAGACATTGCACTTTTGTATTTACCACTGTTTTAGGAGACTTTAAAAATGAATAAACAATATAGCAACATTTATGAAAATCTAAAGAAGAAAGAACTTGAAAATAAGCTCAAACGCCAGGGCTCAAGCGATCCCCTAGGCTCAGCTTCCCAAGTAACTGGAATTGCAAGAACACACCACCATGCCTGGCTACTAATTTTTTATTTTTATTGATTTATTGTAGAGATGAGTTCTCACCAAATTGCCCAGGCGGGTCTTGAAGCTTTTTTTTTGTTTTGTTTTTTTGAGTTTGAGTCTCACTCTGTCACCCAGGCTGGAGTGCAGTGGCACTCTCATGGCCACTGCAGCCTCAATCTGCTGGGCTCAGGCGACCCTTCTGCCTCAACCTTCCAAGTAGCTGAAACTACAGGTGTGCACCACCACACCCAGCTAAAGCTTCTTAACATGGCATATTAGCTGCTCAGTGACCTGATCCCTGCCTACTTTTGCATCCCATTTCTTACCTTTTTCTCTCTTGTATTTTGCATTCTAGCATTATTAAATGTTTTCAGTCACACACACATACATATTCCCTCTGTTCTTACTTAATACCTTTGCATATTTTCTACTTAGAATGCCCTCTCCCTCTTGTACACCTCTTTTTTATCTGTTTAATCCCTACTCACCTCTGGGTCATCTCCTTTAGCAAGTTTCCTCTAGCATTCTGGTTAGGGTAAAGTATCCCTCTTCAACATTCCCATGATATTCCATGTAAATCTCTAACACTAATGCTTACACTTTGTTTCTTAATTATTTATCTGTGTCTATTAATATTAGACCCTGGTATCTTTTTATATCCTTGGCATCTAGAGTGTCCAGCACATAATAGATATTCAAAGAGTATTTATTGAATGAGTGACCATGAAGTACACTTTAAACTTTGTAGATTAAAGGTTTAACTCTGACTTTCTTTTGGATTTGAACAATGTAAACAAGACTAGAATACCTTTTAAACAGAGATTCTCAACCAGAGATATGCTCTTTGGGGAGTTTTTCAAGATGGGCCTGCTCAGGCCCAAACCCTGACCTACTGAGTCATAATTGAGGGGTGGAGGATGTATTTTTTTGTAACTTATTTATTTATTAGAGACAGAGTCTCACTCTGTCACCTAGACTAGAGTACAGCGACATAGTCATAGCTCACTGTAACCTCAAACACCTGGGCTCAAGTGATCTTCTTGCTTTGGTCTCCCAAGTGTCTAGGACTGCAGGTGCATGCCACCACACCTGGCTAATTTTTTTATATTTTAGTAGAGATGGGGTCTTGCTGTGTTGCAGACTGGTCTCAAACTACTGACCTCAAGGAATCCTCCCACCTAGGCCTCCCAAAGTGTGGGTATTGCAAGCATGAGCCACCACACCCAACCCAATGTATATTTTTATAGATGATCTTCAGGAAATAAGTACTCATAAATATATGTGGTGGAAGTACAAAATGGCACAATCTCTATGGAGGAGAAACCATCAGTGTCTGCCAAAATTACAGATGCATTTTACCCTGTGACCAAGCAGTGCCACTTGTAGAAATTTGTTCTGTGGATAGATTGAACTGCAGTTAACAGAGTTATTCATTGAAACATTTTTTTACATAGAAACACAAGGTTTGAAACAACCAGTGTCCAACAATTAAGGAGTATTTGGAGAAACTATGGCACATATACACTATGGAATGTTTTGATGTGGTAAGAGAGAGAAGCATGCTGTTACGTGCTAATGAGAGAGAGAGTAAAGTGACAAAAAGAAGCAAAGTGTTAAAAAGAACAAACTATTTGAGAAACTCATGATTGGTATTCGGGCTAGGAAAGCAACTGCTATTTATTTAATTTAGTTGGGAGAATCCATATTACATCTATAGATTCATGGTGCTTTAGGAGTCAGACTTTAGAGTCTTTGGCAGTGCTTTCACTGGTCAAAATAAGTACATTAAGACAAGAGATTCCCATACCCCATATAAATTTCAGTTGAAGGGCAGACATTTCCCATATAGTTATTAATAAAACATGTTTATTTCCAGTAGAGTAGTAGAAAAAACTAGCATTTTCAAAGTATTGTCTTTTCCTGACTTTTTGGTCTCTAGAGAGAGTAACTACTGTATTATTGCTTACTCTCAGTTATAGTGTATAGATTTTTGCTTCCTAGGAAGTCTGTTATAAACAAATGTCATTAGGGACCTAGTTAGGTAATTTTCATTAGTGGAAAAACATTGGCAAACAAATCCACTTCAGTCTCCAAGGGTTAAAACCATTAGTGACTCTTTCATGCCTAAGGCCCTTTTTAGACTTTGACATCAAAACTATTGGACAGCTAAAGAGGATCTACACTGAAACAGCTTTTTAAATTCCCTATGTAGAGACATAGAATAGTAGGCCTTTCTCCACCTTAAACCTACTCTGAAAATAAAAGGAACTCAAATTACTCCCCAGTTTGTTTTGCTGACCTAGTTCTCTTTCCTAAATGTGTCTCTGGAGCCTTTTGCCAGCAATGACTTGGTAACAGCAGCACCTTTTTTCGATAAACTACGGTACTGTCTCTTTGAGAAACACTGTACCTCTCTTATATAAAAAACCTTTGTGACAACTTAGAAACTTAGCATAAGAGAGCCGTGCCCTTCAAAAAATAAACCTTGATTACACTGTGCTTTTTAGGAGATGGCTATAAGTTGATGATTCTAGATCTAATTCCTGACACTTATTTAGTGTTTTGCATTTTTAACAAAGATTTGCTTCCCACTAGTAGTGCTAGTGGGTGAGAATACAACCATTCCTATTTTATTGATAAGGAAACAGAGGCTCATGTGAATGACAACTTACTAATTCTCAACACCATTAGTAAGTGGTACAGCCTCAAATAGAAAACAGATTGTCTGACTGTCACATGCACCTCTTTTACTGCTCACTGCTCCATAGCTCCCTCTTATTACCATTTGAGGTATATTTCAGAAGGCTTGAAATTATGACCCAGTACCTTGTTGTATCTCTTATTTCATAACTTGAGAAACCGTTATCCAACTATACCTAAATTGGAAGATAACAAAAGAAATTACCGACTATGAATGCTTATATTTTTCTAGAGAAGTAAAGTCAGATACAACTGCTAACGTTTGTGCATATAATGCAAATAATTCCAGGTGCATGTGGCTTGTTGTCTATTTGGATATAAGCACCTGAACTTATTGAAACATTTGCTTTACATTCTCTACCAAGATTGGTAGGCTGTGATTATCTACCAACACATAAACAAATATATGATGCAAATATATAGGATGAGGGGGGATATGAGGAATAATCAGAAAATTCACATCTTGAGGAAATGAAAGCTTCTATGTTGGTTTTTAAAACAAAACTAACCTCAAAACCAATAGAATACTAAGTATAATAAATATCATAAAATGAATAAAAGAAAT